TTTCTGTTGTGTTACCAGGACAGGAGAAAAGGGTGATCTCTCCAATGGGAATAGAGATAGCAATAAAACCTGTTCATATTAGCGCATGGAGGGGGTTGTATGTCATGCTATACTGTTTTAACAACTAGGGAAGGGTTCACTTCCAAAAAACATCCCATGCAAACAGTAACTTTGCTCCGTTTGTATCACCATAATAGGGAACTATTGTGCCTTGACAAGTATTCATAGTCCTTGACATTTTCAACATTTTGTTATGTTACAACCAAAATACGTAAATGTATTTTATTGGGAGTTTATGTGATAGACCAGCACAAAATGGCACATAATTGTGAAGTGGAAGGAAAATGATAAATGGTTTTCAAAATGTTTTTACAAATAAATACCTGAAAAGTGTAGCGTACATTTGTATTCAGCCCCCCCCCCCCCCCCCGGAGTCAATATTTTGTAGAACCACCTTTCTCTGCAATTACAGCTGCAAGTCTTTTTGGAGATGTCTCTACCAGCTTTGCACAACTAGAGAGTGAGATTTTTGCCCATTCTTCTTTGCACAATAGCTCAAGCTCTGTCAGATTGGATGGAGAGCGTCTGTGAACAGCAATTTTCAAGTCTTGCCACAGATTCTCAATTGGATTTAGGTCTGGACTTTGACTGGGCCATTCTAACAGATGAATATGCTTTGATCTAAACTATTCCATTGTAGCTCTGGCTGTATGTTTAGGGTTTTTGTCCTTCTGGAAGGTCTCAAGTCTTTTACAGACTTTGATAGGTTTTTTTCTAAGATTGCCCTGTATTTGGCTCTATCCATCTTCCCATCAACTCTGACCAACTTCCCTGTCCCTGCTGAAGAAAAGCATCCCCACAACATGATGCTTCCACCACCATGTTTCACGTTGGGGATGGTGTGTTCAGGGTGATGTGCAATGTTTGTTTTCCACCACACATAGCATTTTGCTTTTAGGTCAAAAAGTTCAATGTTGGTCTCATCTGACCACAGCACCTTCTTCCACATGTTTGCTGTGTCACCTACATGGCTGCAAACAGGACTTCTTATGACTTTCTTTCAACAATGGCTTTCTTCTTGCCACTCTTCCATAAAGGCCAGATTTGTGGAGTGGATGACTAATAGTTGTCCTGCGGACAGATTCTCCCACCTGAGCTGTGGACAGGCTTGCAGTTGTGCCATACTCTTTCCATTTTCTGATGATGGATTGAACAGTGCTCCGTGAGATGTTCAAAGCTTGGGACTTTTTTTATAACCTAACCCTGCTTTAAACCTCCACAACTTTATCCCTGACCTGTTTGGTGTATTCCTTGACCTTCATTACACTGTTTGCTCACTAATATTCTCTAACAAACCTCTGCGGGCTTCACAGAACAGTTGTATTTATACTGAGATTAAATTACACACAGGTGGACTCTATTTACTAGTTAGGTGACTTCTGAAGGTAATTGGTTCCACTAGATTTTAGTTAGGGGTATTAGTGTAAAGGGGGCTGAATACAAATGCATGCCACACTTTTCAGATACTTATTTGTAAAATGTTGAAAACCATTTATCATTTTCCTTACCCTTCACAATTATGTGCCACTTTGTGTTGGTCTATCACATAAAATCCCAATAAAATACATTTACATTTTGGTTGTAACATGACAAAATGTGAAAAATGTCAATGCTGTATGAATACTTTTTCAAGGCACTGTATGTACCTCTATACTAATGTAATAATATTCACTGTAGCTCCATTATTTTAGTATGAAAAGGGTATACTACCCATCAGCTGGTGGCTGCAGGAGCTGATGAGGTGACACAGAAAGTTTAGAAGTCATGGATATTTTATTTATGCTTTAATGTATATGTAAACCCTCAAAGTGAAAGGCACAAATTTGTGCATAGATATAAAAAACATTATAAACACATTTTTTCCCTGTTTTAAAAGTGATCACGTACCCTCTAAGCGTCTTATGCAGCTAAGAACAAACAACTGGGGGAGGTGAAACAGCAGCCCACTGAACTTCCCAGTGAATGGCAGCATGGGGGGGCTGGGAGTATCAGGACAAGTCTGATCATTGGAGGAGAGAAGGCTCGGTTCCCAGCACAGCTAGAGAACTGACCATGATGTGCTCTTATGCCCAGTGTAGTAATTTTTTAATAGGAAAGCAGAGGGACTGGCAGGAACAACAGGGATTTCACTCAAAGAAAGAAATACAAAGAGAACAGGATACTTTTCATACAGGTACATGGTACAGCAGGCGCATATGAGGAATATGAAATGCTGGGTTGACATATTCTTTAAAAGTAAACCCTGTACAAAGAGAATTCTATCTTCTTTCCTTTTATCCCCACCCTATCCCTGCAGCAATATGTATTCACCTTTCTTGCTTCCATGACACTCTATTTGGATGACAAAATCATATACTCCAGTATAGGTGGTCATGTGACTCCCTCCCTCACTGCCAGGTGGGCCCTGATGGGGCCTGGGAAGGAGTCCATAGTTCTGTATAAGTGCCCATACGTCAGTTTTGAGCTTTCTCTGACATTTTTTCATGATCCTTGTGGCTGAACAGAGCAACTGGGAGAGAATAAAGACAATATTCTGCGGAGAAGGGGAAAGACCAAGTCAATGTTTTTTTGTCCTATATAGCCAAATACATAGGTAGCAATACAGGGTGATCTTTCTATTAGAAATTGATTTAACTCACTATGAGCAACTAATAAAATAACTATAAATAGGTACTTTTCACAGCTAAAAGTTTGCCCGGACCAGCAATAACAATGCATATTATTAGAAATTCTGTATGTAGCCCTACAGAACAGTGATAATACCTCAATATTCTCACCCTATAGCCAAAGCAAACAAGTGCTAAACTAAATAAACTATGTATAAATCATTTGAATCAAGTACATATAATAATATAAACGCAGTGTCAAAAAAAAAAAAAATCTACTATAAACGCAGTGTCCAAAAATAAATATTATAAATGCAGTGTCCAAAATACCAAGGTATAAATCAATTGAATCAAGTACATATAATAATATAAACGCAGTGTTCAAAAATTAATATTGGTATTTTGGACATTGCGTTTATAATATGTATTTTTTGGACACTGCGTTTATAGTAATTTTTTTTTTGACACTGCGTTTATATTATTATATGTACTTGATTCAAATGATTTATACATAGTTTATTTAGTTTAGCACTTGTTTGCTTTGGCTATAGGGTGAGCATATTGAGGTATTATCATTTATTACACTTTCAAGGGTGAAAGTAAGACTTATATGCTTTCAGGGGATAGGTTTATATGTTTATTTGAGATACCGTCTTGATTCAGAGCCCTACAGAACAGAGTGTTTTTCAGCTTCACTGCAACAAGGGAACACAAATCTTTATCCAGAGAAAAGACACAGAATATACCATAGATGCAGCTACAAACCTATAAATACTGCTATGTACTGATTGAAGAATATATCTCTACTGAATACTGATGTAGTTGTTGCACAAAATACATGAACACTGTATTCCAACACATATTATGTATTCGTCAATTCTGTTAAATATACAGATCGGAAAAAATACCTCCGTTCCAAACTAACTCCATATGATGCCACATCAAGTAGCTAACAGTAGTCAAGGTGGACTATATTAAAGGTTTTACATTTGCCAATATACACATTCTATAATCTTAATAGAAATGTCTCACTAGTTAAGGCATTTCCATGATTGTTTTAACAAAATGAAATAGGATAAGAACTGACCTGCAGCAGAATACCTTTTAACTGTCACTAATTCCTATGGACAATACTGATTCCTGTGCCTTTAGGATATACTTTTGATATGCATACTGATGTACCATTTTTTTCTTCCTGGAACTGTTCCTAATTTTCTGTATTGACCAACTGTACCATAAATGCTGTTTACTGCAATGTAGATTTAACTGGTATATGTACTGCTAATTAACAATTAAGTACCGTATTATTCGCTCCATAAGACGCACCTGACCATAAGACTCACCTAGGTTTTAGAGACGGAAAACTAGAAAAAAAGTATTCTGAACCAATGGACTGCAGACATGGTACAGGAAATTACCAGAGACTGCAGACATAGTACAGTAGTACAGGAGATGACCAGAGACTGCGGACATAGTACAGGAGATGACCAGAGACTGCGGACATAGTACAGGAGATGACCAGAGACTGCGGACAGAGTACAGGAGATGACCAGAGACTGCGGACAGTACAGGAGATGACCAGAGACTGCGGACATAGCACAGGAGATGACCAGAGACTGCAGACATAGTACAGGAGATGACCAGAGACTGCGGACATAGTACAGGAGATGACCAGAGACTGTGGACACAGTACAGGAGATGACCAGAGAGTGCGGACACAGTACAGGAGATGACCAGAGACTGCGGACATAGTACAGGGGATGACCAGAGACTGCGGACACAGTACAGGAGAGGACCAGAGACTGCGGACATTGTACAGGAGATGACCAGAGACTGCGGACAGTACAGGAGATGACCAGAGACTGCGGATAGTACAGGAGATGACCAGAGACTGCGGACACAGTACAGGAGATGACCAGAGACTGCGGACATAGTACAGGAGATGACCAGAGACTGCGGACACAGTACAGGAGATGGCCAGAGACTGCGGACACAGTACAGGAGATGACCAGAGACTGCGGACAGTACAGGAGATGACCAGAGACTGCGGACAGTACAGGAGATGACCAGAGACTGCGGACACAGTACAGGAGATGGCCAGAGACTGCGGACACAGTACAGGAGATGACCAGAGACTGTGGACAGTACAGGAGATGACCAGAGACTGCGGACAGTACAGGAGATGACCAGAGACTGCGGACAGTACAGGAGATGACCAGAGACTGCGGACACAATACAGGAGATGACCAGAGACTGCGGACATAGTACAGGAGATGACCAGAGACTGCGGACATAGTACAGGAGATGACCACAGACTGCAGACATACTACAGGAGATGACCAGAGACTGCGGACACAGTACAGGAGATGACCAGAGACTGCAGACACAGTACAGGAGATGACCAGAGACTGCGGACATAGTACAGGGGATGACCAGAGACTGCGGACACAGTACAGGAGAGGACCAGAGACTGCGGACACAGTACAGGAGATGACCAGAGACTGCGGACATAGTACAGGAGATGACCAGAGACTGCGGACACAGTACAGGAGAGGACCAGAGACTGCGGACACAGTACAGGAGAGGACCAGAGACTGTGGACAGTACAGGAGATGACCAGAGACTGCGGACATAGTACAGGGAAGGACCAGAGACTGCGGACACAGTACAGGGGATGACCAGAGACTGCGGACACAATACAGAAGATGACCAGAGACTGCGGACATACTACATCATATAAAGTCCCAACAGGGCCCTTTCACCCAGAATATCAAATGATCTGACACCATACATCAAGGAAAATGACTACAACTCCCAGCATCTGTCATTTTTAACTTACAGAAGGCAGGCTATAGAACGCAAGGGGCACACTGAGCTCCGAGGACAGGCCACACCAGCAGATAGGACCGGACTGCAGATCAGGGAGCGCACTATGGACACATGCCAGGAGTGGGGAGGAGCTGTAAGGACAGGCCACACCTGAAGACTGGACCGGACTGCAGAGCAGGGAGAGCAGTACATAGACATGCTAGGAGCGGGGAGGAGCTCCGAGAACAGGCCACACCTGCCAGTCGGACCGGACTGCAGAGCAAGCTGGCTGGGTTCGGCGAGGGGACTGCCTGCTATGAAGAACTGCGGGGACAGCCCGCTGAGAGAGGGGATGAGGTAGGGTGAACTTTGGTGACAGCCTGCAGTGGGAGGGGACAGGCTGCAGTGGGATGGGACAGTCGCTGGCCCTAACACGGCGGCGGTGACAGGTGGAGGACTGGTCAGTATTCTCTCCATAAGACGCACAGACATTTTCCCCCATATTCTTTGGGGAAAAAAGTGTGTCTTATGGGGTGAAAAATACGGTAAATATGTAAACAAAATCACTAAAATCTCACACAAACATTAGAAAATAATTCAAAAGTCATTGGATGAAAAAAAAAGGTGAAAACAGTTTTTATAACAATTATTTATGATACATAGTAGTTTGACAAACTAAATGCAACTCAGTCAGTATATGATCTCATTTACTTTTTTTTTGTCCCCAATCTAATAATAATGTGAATAGTGCAGCAGGCACATACTGCACTTCTATAAAAACAAATCCATTTGAAGATTTAAGATTTCAAAAAGCAGGATAAGAAAACATTGAGGACAGTACATATACTACCTGTGCTTCCTCTGGTAATCTCATAATCCATTCTCCCAGGCTCAGTGGTACTGTGTCCATTCTAATAGGCAGAGAGCCAAACTAAGATTAGCACAGATCAGGCTTAGTTTTAGGAACAGACCTGTGAGTCATATACTTTAGCTAAAATAATTGAATTACAGAATATTTTTTACCTTTGAAATCCATCTATAAGCGGGGTAGACTGAAGCACTGATACTGCCACTGTCCGTAGTTTAGCTGTGAAGCTGTACATTGGACAGCCATGGTTTATATGAGATTTTAAATAAACACTCCTCAGGGAGCCACTGATATTTTATAAATTCTAGTATTTATTTTACTGTATTATATGATTTATTTTGCATTTGAAAAATGTGTTTTTTATAAAGCCATATGTTATTTTCTAATACTAATAAAAATATGAATTTACAATACCTACTGTATATCAATGTGTCTTATTATAAAAGTTTCAACATTTTAAAAATTGTGGGTTATAAAAAGTACAGAATAATGATTGTGTCATTACACTTTAGAATGATTTGAAGTGAGAGGAGTTGCTGAGTAAGAGTCAGTGACCTCAAGAGTTGGTCACTGTTTTCAGTTCAAAGAACTCCCATAACTCCCATTTTGCTGGATCATTGTCAATTTTCTAGACCTTTGAAAAGTCTATATGATGTAAGTGGCAGTTTAATATTTATATTTGGTCTGTAATTCAAGTTTAATCAGACAAACTTAGTAAGGCTGGGTTCACACTAGTGCAAGTTCAAATGTGACTTGAGTCACATAGAATCACATGACAATGGAAAACACATTGATTTCAGTGGTGACTGTTCACATCAATGCAACGCAACTGTGATGTGACTTTGAGGAAGATACAGGTGATACTCTGATGCTATGCAGAGCGACTTATGTCCCATAGACATTAATGGAAAGGCACCAAAAACGCATGTAAAATGCACGTATATTTTTTATAGTTTTCTTCCCCTACCAAAACTCGCATTCTCATGAAAAATGTATGGAAAACCACAGAACTTCACTAAAAATCAGATCACTAGTTTAAACCTAGCCTAATTAATATTATCTACAAAGTTTATTATTTCACTGCCTTGGTTCGTAGTATACCATTTCTCATGGCAGTGGAACCGTACTTTAAATTTGAAACTAGTTTGTAACAGAATAGAAAAAAAAAAATTATATATATATATATATATATATATATATATATATATATATATATATACAGTTGCAAGAAAAAGTATGTGAACCCCTTGGGATTACGTGGAGTTTTGAATGAATTGGGCATAAAATGTGCTCTGAACGTCATCTAAGTCACAACAATAGAAGAACACAGCCTGCTGAACATAATACTACACAAACATTAGATGTTGCCATGGTTTAATTGCACATAACATGTAAACATTCACAGTGCAGGAGGAAAAAGTATGTGAACCTTTGGACTTAATAACTGGTTGACCCTCCTTTGGCAGCAATAACCTCAACCAAACGTTTCCTGTAGTTGCAGATCAGACCTGCACAACGATCTGGAGTAATTTTGGACCACTCCTCTTCACAAAACTGTTTCAGTGTAGCAATATTCTTGGGATGTCTGGTGTGAATCGCTCTCTTAAGGTCATGCCACAGCATTTCAATCGGGTTGAGGTCAGGACTCAGGCGTATTCTGTGCTGTTGCAGCCATTGTTTTGTTGCATTACTTGTATGCTTTGGGTCATTGTCCTGTTGCATCACCCATCCTCTGCGGAGCTTCAGTTGGCGGACAGATGGTCGTACGTTTTCCTGCAAAATGTCTTGATAAACTCTGGAATTCATTTTCCCATTAATGACAACAATCCGTCCAGGTCCTGAGGCAGCAAAGCAGCCCCAAACCATGATGCTCTCTCCGCCATGTTTTACAGTGCGGATGAGGTTTTGATGTTATTGTGCTGTGCCTTTTTTTCTCCACACATAGTGTTGTGTGTTCTTCCCAAACAACTCAATCTTGGTTTCATCTGTCCACAGTATATTTTGCCAGTAGTGCTGTGGAACATCCAGGTGCTCTTTTGCAAACTTCAAACGTGCTGCAATATTCTTTCTGGACAGCAATGGCTTCCTCCGTGGTGTCATCCCATGTGCTCCATTCTTGTTTAATGTTTTTCTTATTGTAGATGTGTCAACAAAAATGTTAGCATGTGCCAGAGATTTCTGTAGGTCTTTAGCCGACACTCTGGGATTCTTCTTTACCTCATGCAGCATTCTGCACTGTGCTCTTGCAGTCATTTTTACAGGACGACCACGCCTACGGAGAGTAGCAACAGTGCTAAACTTTCTCCATTTGTAGACAGTCTGTCTTACCGTGGACACATGAACATCAAGGCTTTTGGAGATACTTTTGTAACCCTTTCCAGCTTCATGCAAGTCAACAATTCTTGATCGTAGGTCTTCTGAGAGCTCTTTTCTGCGAGGCATGGTTCACATCAGACAGTGCTTCTTGAAACCAGTAAACCCAAAACAGGTGTGTGTTTTTTAAGGGCAGGACAGCTGTCAGCAACACATCCAATATCATCACACTGATTGGAGTCAAGGTTGGCTCACTCCTGGCTCCAGTTAGCTCTGGGAGAAGTCATTAAGCTAGGACCTCACATACTTTTTCCTCCCTGCACTGTGAATGTTTACATGTTATGTGCAATTAAACCATGGCAACATCTAATGTTTGTGTAGTATTATGTTCAGCAGACTGTGTTCTTCTATTGTTGTGACTTAGATGACGTTCAGAGCACATTTTATGCCCAATTCATGCAAAACTCCACGTAATCCCAAGGGGTTCACATACTTTTTCTTGCAACTGTATACAGTTGTGTTCAAAATAATAGCAGTGTGTTGAAAAAAGTGAATAAAGCTCAAAATATTTCTAATAGCTTTTATTTCCATACACAGAAATGCATTGGGAACACTACACATTGTATTCCAAATCAAAACATGAAGAAAAATATATCAAATTTGTGTTTTTCTAAAAAAAAATTGAAGAAAAGTGAATATTTTTTAAAAAAATGGCAGTGTTTGTATTCTTCTTTACAAACTCAAACATTCACTATATAAACTGAAAAATGTTTGAAGATTTTGCTTTCCTTTGAATCACTTAATTAATATTTAGTTGTATAAGCACTGTTTCTGAGAACTGTTGTACATCTGTGTTGCATGGAGTCAACCAAATTCTGGCACCTGTAAACAGGTATTCCAGCCCAGGATGATTGGACTACATTCCACAGTTCTTCTCTATTTCTTGGTTTTGCCTCAGAAACTGCATTTTTGATGTCACCACACAAGTTTTCTATTGGATTAAGATCTGGGGATTGGGCTGGCCACTCCATAACATCAATCTTGTTGGTCTGGAACCAAGATGTTGCACGTTTACTGGTGTGTTTGGGGTCGTTATCTTGTTGGAACACCCATTTCAAGGGCATTTCCTCTTCAGCATAAGGCAGCATGACCTCTTCAAGTATTCTGATGTATTCAAACTGATCCATGATCCCTGGTATGCGATAAATAGGCCCAACACCGTAGTATGAGAAACATCTCCATATCATGATGCTTGCGCAACCATGCTTCACTGTCTTCACAGTGTACTGTGGCTTGAATTCAGTGTTTGGGGGTCGTCTGACAAACTGTCTCCAGCCACTAGACCCAAAAAGAACAATCTTACTTTCATCAGTCCACAAAATGTTGCGCCATTTCTCTTTAGGCCAGTTAATGTGCTCTTTGGCAAATTGTAACCTCTTCAGCACGTCTTTTTTTCAACAGTGGGACTTTGCGGGGGCTTCTTGCAGATAGCTTGGCTTCACATAGGCGTCTTCTAATTGTAACAGTACTCACAGGTATCTTTAGACCTTCTGTGATCTTCCTGGAGTTGATTGTTGGCTGGGTCCTTGCCATTTTGGCTATTCTTCTATCCATACGAATGGTAGTTTTTTGCTTTCTTCCACGTCTTTCAGATTTTGTTGCCATTTCAAAGCATTTGCGATCATTTTAGCTGAGCAGCCTATCATTTTCTGCACTTCTTTATATGTTTTCCCCTCTCCAATCAACTTTTTAATCAAGGTACGCTGTTCTTCTGAACAATGTCTGGAACGACCCATTTTCCTCAGAATTTCAGAGAGAAATGCACTGTAACCAGCATGTACAACATTTGCTGCCTTCCTTTTTTATATAAGGGCAATATTGTGAGTGATTGTTGGGTCTGCTGGATTTCTATTACTCTACTACACCTGCTAGTAAATTATTTGCCTTGTAGAAATATAATTTCTACCAAAAACAGTGATTGTTCAGGTTAGTGATGTCTGACTGCTATTATTTTGAACACAACTGCTCAAAAAAATTAAAGGAACACTTTGAAAACACATCAGATCTCAATGGGGAACAATATCATGCTGGATATCTATACTGATATGGATTGGGTAATGAGTTAGGAACGTAGGATGCCCCATTGTTTGATGGAAAAAAAAAATCAACTTACAGAGGACTGAACTTAAAGATACCCGAAAATCAAAGTGAAAAAATGAGGCAG